CATGACGAAGATATAGCTCCCGTTGCAAGTCCCTCAAATTGTCCACCTGCGCGAGACGACGCAACTAATAATGACAAATTACAAATACAAGACGCACAAAATGACGAAAGTGTCCAAATCATCACTCCCGTGATAAAAAAGAGATCCGCAACATACNTAATTAAACATAAAGTAAGTGCAATTACAAAAAAACCAATTAAACGAGACCTTACCGCAAATGACGATACCATCTTGGTATCCAGACGTTTTACTTACGATCGCGACACTACATTAATTAGATATGCGCTCACTCTTGAACCTAATGCGATTACAGTTCTAGAAACATATCAACATCTTGTACAAACAAATCAACGTTTGTTCAGCCGTTATAACGCTACCGATCTTGCTAACCGTATTCGCTGCTTGGCTTTCAAGGATTTAAAATATCCTCTTAAAGCGTATTACGCGCATATTCAAGAACTCGACGCTATTAAACAAAAAATAAACAAATACGAGATTTCACAGTTTACTTCTCAAATTTTAGACGTATCCATCTCACAAAATTAAACATTATTCTTACACATATAATATTCACACATATTATTCTTACTTATATTATTCACACATATTCTTACTTATATTATTCACACATATATTATTCTTACTACGTATATAATTTTTCTATATACTCTACTTATATCTTACTCACAAAATAACGAAAAATCCAAAAATACTTAAAAAAGAAAAACAAAAAAAAAAAAAAAACCACAAAAAAACCTAAACACGACTCTCTAAAGAACGCGTTACTGTTCACGTCCCGTTCCCACCTCCTCGCCGGTGAGAGTCGGGCAACGTTGACGCGCCAATCTTCAGAGCGTCAATNGCTAACGGGGCTCCGGGTTAAACTAAAATATTTTGTCGTATGGTGTTACAACCTAGTAAGTTCTTTTTTGTGGTGCACTTTTTTTCTTTTATTGTTATGTTGCTTTATGGGAGGGGAGGGCTTTGCCCCCCTTCACTCCCCTTGAGCGNGGGCTTCGCCCCCTGCACCCCCTTTTTTCTTGGGGGCTTCGCCTCCAAACCACCAGCGGGGGCTTTGCCCCCTGCACCCCGGCTCCGCGTCCGCGTGCGCAGAGTTTCTGGGTTCGCGTCTAAGGATCCAGGGGCCTTCGGCCCCTGAACCCGGTACCATTTCTTTCCATAAATCCCTACATCCTAGGAACTTATCCTGAAAACCCAAGATGGAATGTATTGCACATTTGCCGTTTCAAGCACTTTCCACGTTTCCCTACATCCTAGGGAATTATTCAAAAAACCCTAGATTAAAAATCTTATCTTCTCCAGATCTACAAGTTTTGTNTAAACCATTTTGCTACATCTCGCCATTTTTGGTTCCCAGAAATGAAAACTTCTAAGGTTTCTCGATAAAAACATTAAAATTNAAGATAAAAGTCTTTCTTTTTGCATGCGTGCGTTTCATCAAAAGTTACGTCGATTGCCGCAATAAAAAAATTTTGAAAATTTCAAAAATTCATAACTTCTAAAATATTCAAGATAGAGGGTTAAGTCATAGGACCTTTTTGATAGATCTCGTTGAGATCTACAACTTTTGTCTGAAGCTTTTTGCTACGTCCCGTCATTTTCCTGACGGGAATCATCCTGACACCGCGATGTCCTTGGTCCACCAGTAGGTAGACTTCTTCACCACAGTCCCCCGGACTCTCGGCATGGAAGCGTCACAAGCGTTTGTGACGACGCTCGTCAGCCATGTCGCCTTTTCCTCAGCGCTCACATCCCTTTCNGGGGGGATGCCCCACGTCGCGCCCAGAAGCGCAGCGTCAAACCGGTCAAGGTCTCACTCCCGAGTTTTTCACCTTGGGAATGGGAATCGGCGCGTCTCTTGCGCGGACCCCGCGTGCTCGGACACTACGAAGGTGACATAGAGATGGTCGGACAACGACTCTTGTTGCATCACCGACCACCTCCGCACCAGCGAAGCCACCGCCGCAGACCCCAGCGTGAGATCTACAACGGATGACCCTTGAGGACGGACACACGTTGGTGTCGCGCCCTCGTTAAGAACCCTAAGGCCCAGGCCCGCTACCCACCCTTTGAGAACGCGACCGTGCCATTCCGTTCGGGGAGAGCCGACGACTTGGCGTTAAAGTCGCCGGTTACTAGCACGGAGGCTCCCCCGACCCGTGCAACACTAGACCCTAGCGAGTCCAGGAAACGATCAAAGACGGCCCTGGAACAGTTGGGGGAAACATAGCAGCTGTACACTACAAGTCTTCCCCATCTCACCGCCACGAACCCGTGGCCCCGGTCCACCACACTACGGACTGCGGGGCGTCCCAACTTGTTAACCCAGGTTATGGCAGCCACGCCGTCCTTGTCTCTAGCCCACGCCGGGGACTCAGGAACCCGCCAGGGCTCGGCGAGCGCCATCACCCCCGTTTCCATCTCGCGCATGACTTGCAGCGTCAGGCCCTGCGCCGGACCGCTGTGGTTCACATTAATTTGAACCACGCGGGCCATCGTGTGCGTCTATTTCCATGGCCTCTTGTTGGCCATGGACGACCGTCCTCCGTGCGGTCGTGATGCCTCCTCTCGGGCCGTTCCGCCNTTTCCAGCGCGAGGGGCACGCTTCCCCTCCCAGTCTGTGTGCAGACGGAAGACCTCTGTCCGCGCACAGTACACACCAGGCCAGACCTCGGCACAGGCGGGACTGATGTCCGGCTTTGCCGCACCGATAACAAAAGTCGCTCCTGTCCACAATGTTTCGGCATGTCTGCCTGACATGGCCAAACTCCAGGCACTTGAAGCACTGGAGCTGGCGACCGGGCAGGATCGACACTTTAACATTTGACCACCCCACGCGAAGGCGGCCAAGCCTCGGCCACTTTTGTGGCCACCTCTAGAGGGCATCTGACCCACATTGCGCCGAGGCGGTCCCTGCCCTCGGTCACTGGGCCTATCGTAATATCCGACGCCTGGCAGCCGCCAAACTCTGCGGAGCTTAGGCGGGCTACCAGTTCGTCGGCAGACACCAAATCATCCAGCCCGGTGAAACGGAGCTCACCCCTGCGGACTGGGCAACTAACCGTGGCCTTCCCCTGCAGCGCGGGGGTTAAGGCCTCGTCCAACCGCGTGGCCTTAGCGGCGCCGTTGGGTCCCGGGATCTCAACCAAAATCCCGCCTCTCACGTCCTTCCTAACGCGGGTCTCCCCAATGCCCAAATCATGCAGCGTATTTTTTTCCCGCGCAAGGCGCATGACTTCGGCGTAGGGCATCTTACCCGAATTGTCAGGGGCGCACCTAATGGGTACCGCCGCAGCCGTACGCCGGCGTCGACGACGGCGACCACTTCCTGCGGGGGCAGGCTGTTGTTGCTGGCCCGGTCTTGCCTGAGTCTTAGTCAGACCTCGAGGAAGGTTTTCCTCCCGCATTGCGCTTGACGCGGCGGGTGACTGTGGCCCAACTGACCTCTCCAGGAGCCGGGGCAGCCATCGGCCGCGACGCGGATATTTCACAGGGAGGGTTGTTAGGCCCTCTACGAGCGCCAACTCTAGCGCCCTTTGCCGCTCCGGACCCGCCAGGGGTTGAACCGCCCCCCGAAGGACTTTCCTTCGGTGCACGGGGCCGGGGCTGCGCTGCGCCGCTACCGCCACTGGAGTTTCCGGAAGGATACACCACGTTAAGGAGCTGCTGCAACAGCTCCTTAACCNCTCCGAGCTGACGCTCAATAACAGTCACTCTCGAGTAGAGAGTGTCGCCATCTCCCTTCCCGCCTGGGATTACCCGGACATCGTCCAGGACTTTGACGGTTCCGCGCACTTTCGGCCGAACCGCTGGCGGAATCATTGTCCCAGGGGGAAGAACATCCATGGCCGTGATAATCGGGCCACGAGGAGTGTCCGTCTGGACAAACGCCTCCCNACTCGGGCCTTTCTTAGCCCCCACTGGAAGCGGAGCCGGGGCAATCTGCTGGTCGAATTGCTCCCGAAGCTCATTGAATTCCCTACGGAGAATTCGGTTTTCCGCCTCCAGTTGGAGAAGCTTTTTACCGCGTTTTGCGGTCTTGTCCTCGGCGTGTCTTACGCGGACCCTGAGGTTAGCATTATCCACCTCCTCCACGCAAGACACGAGGGACTCTGCAGCCCGTTCCGCCAACGCCGCGAACTTTAAAATCGCGGATATACCCGCCCTTGCACCGAGTCACTTGGTAGACGAACTTTCCTTTCGCCAACCGCACAAGAGCTGCTATCTCCGACGGGGGCATCTCCTCAATGGGGACCTCTCGTTGCTCTTCCTCTTGCTCTTCCACCATGGGCGTGGAAGATAGCTGTCTCTTTTCTTCGTCGCTGTNAATAACAGCCGGCGGGTGGACGTCCGGCTCCGCAACAGAGGGGACCGGCGAGAGGCGGGATGTAGTGTTAGGTCCCGTGTTCGCCTTCTTTCCCTTTTGCGCGCTCTTACTTCTACGGCGCTTAGGTCGGCCTCGGCCTTTACTCGAAGCCGAGTCCCCAAAGGAAGCTTCAACCACCGAGAGCTTCCGAAGTCGCTTTTTAGAGTGCCCGTGACAAAGGAACGCATCCCTCCTCGCAACGAGCCTCTCCTCTTCCTCGGATAAAACTTCCATCTCGCTCCTGAATGTGCGGGAGCGCTCGCTCCCAGTCTCCATGTTTTGCTNCATGGCGCCAGCGAGACTTGGGGCTTTGGTTGTCCAAAATCGGCTGCTACCCGCAGTANCATGAGAGACTACGGAGCCTGCGTCGCACTCCGTAGCCAACCCTTCGCAAGATAACGACCGAGNGGNGGCAGGGATATCACCCCCGAACTGCTGGGACCTAGGGCTCCGAGACCCTTGGTCCGGTAAGTTTATCTCTCCCTTACTTTGCATACCCATAATAATTAAGGGGGAGGTTTGATTTTGGAGTTTTCCTTCTCCTAGGACAGTTCCCGACCAAGGGTAACGAGCCCGTCCTGCCCGGGTTTGAAGTCAGGGTTTTCCTTCCCGTAGTCCAGTGGCCGTCTCGACAGCGCCTCTCGGAGCTGGACACCCCGGATTTGTAGTCAGGGTTTACTCCCCTAGTCCGATTGCACCGTGGCTGACGGGGTCGGACGCCCCAGATTTGAAGTCAGGGTTTACTCCCCTATCCCAGTTGCACCGGCAAGAAATGCTAAGCAAGGCTGGGATCCCCCGGTTTTTATTCAAGGTTTTCCTTCCTCTATTTCCTCTCTTAGTACAGGAGCTCCGCGAAGGGCCTTCCTGGCATGGGTGACCCTACCAGGGAATCAAAAGATTTTCCGCCAGTATAGCCCCCTCGCTTCACCGCTCCTAAGCCCGGACACCACGACAAGGTGGAGGAAAATCGCACGGGTGCGCGTGTCAGGCTGTGACAACTCCGTTTCCACGGAGGAGTTGTTGTCGGCCGTGGCCTTGACTGGAGCGTGCCGGGAGGCGGAGTTTTGTCTGGGCNAAATCCGGACGCTGGCTTCCGGCCTCAGAAGTGTGTGGGTGCAGAACCCCGTGGCTGTTGCCAAGAAATTGGCGGCNGCTTGCACTGCTAAAGTGGGGTGAGCCCTTTCTTGCGTTGAGGCGCTCAAGGTCCGCCTCCTGCAATGTTTCCGATGCTTGCGCCCGGGACACATGAGGCACTTTTGCCTCTCAGGTGAGCCCGACCGCAGCGGTTGTTGTTACCGCTGCGGCCTAAATGGGTATTGGCTCCGGCAGTGCAATGCTCCGAAGCCGAAGTGCCTATTGTGCAAAGATCTGGGGCGCCTTTCCCGGCATGTGCTGGGAGGCCCCAGNTGCCGCCTTCCTCCTGCTGTAGCCGGTAGTATTGGTACCACTTTCGCGCTGCCGCAGGAGTTGGCTCCGGAGGTGGCAGGGACAAGGAAGAGGAAGGCGAGTCTGTCGGAGGAAGGCCCCTTGACGGCTACGGGAAGGTCTTCTCCTCCGCGGCCCGGAAGACCCAAACCGATGAACTTTAAGCCAGCGGCGGTGGTGGGTGCGGATCCTCCTCGGGAGGTCTCCGTTCCCCCTATCCTACCTTCTCCCCNTTGGGGTCAAGAAGAGGGTGCACCTCCCTCTGGTTCTGGTGGGACCTGTCCACCCAAGGAGGCGACCCTGTCTCTNTCAGTACAGACAAAGACTAAGAAAACCGTCTCGCCTGTGTTATCCTCATCTATGAAGATGAACCCGAGCAAGGCGCTCGCTGCCCTACTTAGACAGACGGAGGGTCCGAGAAGTAAGGTTGTGATTGGACGGGACTGTCTTACGCGCCCTGATTTATGGTCGCCACTTACTTTTACCAACAAAGTAGGAAAGATATGACTCTTTTGGTCTGTTTCAGGAACGGACTCACCAGACAAACNAACATCCGAACTTGCCGCCTTTGGATCTTCTTTGCCTACGGACCCTGGACGATCGATACGAACAATGNACTTCTGGTATGGCCCTAATT